GACACTGTTATATGCAGGGAATGTATTGTAAAAGTCCACAGCAAACACGACTTTAAAGAATTAGGGGATGTGGTGAAAGTTCAACGAGATCTAATACAAGAAAAACTGAGATGTCTCCCTACTGAGAAATTATCTCGTTTTGAAAAGGCAGAAAATGTTATTGTACAAACGGAAGAGAGACTGACAGTAAATCAGAAAAAGGTTCTTCGTTTGGTGGATTCGCAAAAAATAGCTGTGACAAAGGAGATAAAAGAAAACAGTAAAACTATTGAAAGAGAAATCAAAGATTATTATCAACAAGTAGTGAAAGACGTACGTCAACAGACCGACGCGTATTTGACCTCTGTAAAACAGCATTTGGAAACTTATGAAACAAAAGTACAGTCAGAATACATCGAAATGCAGAAAGCTATAGATGAAAAAATCAACGGAATAACGACAGATGTTAAGGCACACACCTCCACGCAGGTGAAGACTTTAGAAGCTGAAAAGGACAAGCTAGAAATGAACAAGATTTCCATCCAGAGTATTCGTGATTTCGCTCAGCAGCTCACAGACACCGGTTCTGACATCGAGGTCATGACCCACTCAGGAGTTAGAGACAGTAGAACCAGTCTTTGATATCAATATCACCGACATAACATTTACACCAGGGAAAGCAAAAATGAACGCTGGTCTACAGTTCCCGGAGATCCCTGAACCACGGCCGCTGAAAATTAGAACGGGGATCATTACCGCCAAAACATACCGGGGTCCCTTGGATGCATATTTCGGAAGTTTAAAAGAAAAGAGAGCGAACTATCCTGCGCTGAAGGAATTTCTGAGAGTAACCTGGCTTGATAAGCCGGAGCGGAATATTTGTTTTAAAGTGTGTGATATGCTGCGGGATATCCAGTGCACAGATGACGGTTGTATTTTAGGTTTATATGGTGAATTATTCTTTGGTAAAACAGTGTTCGTATTCTCCAGCACAGGTCAATGTAATCGTAAGATCAGTGTAGAGGGAGGGGGGATGTGTATCACTACAGTCAGTAACGGTAGATTCGTGGTCACATGCGGAGATAAATGCTGTAGACTGTATTCAACATAAGGTCAGGTTATCCGGTGTTTTGGTCAGGGTGATATGTCTAACCCCAGGGGTGTCACTGTGGACCGTACAGAGGGTAAGGTGTACGTGTGTGATAGTGGTGCACAGTGGATCTGTGTGTACGACATGATATCTTTTCAACTTGTTAACAGAATTCCTATCCCAATGTGCAGTAAAGGTCCACTGCGCTGTGCATACCACCACGGCATCAATGCAATCATAGTCAGCGACAACAGTGCCCACTGTGTGTATGCAGTGACACCCCAGGGTGACGTCATGTTTCAATACGGAACACGAGGTCAGAGTGGAAGTGAAGACGGACAACTGAGTCATCCAAATGGAGTGTGCGTAGATAAGTTTGGACACATATTCATAGCTGACAGCAGTAATCACAGGGTGGTTATCCTTGGTTTAGACGGAACATTTCTACGGAACGTTTTGAGTAGGAGTGACAGCATTGAGGAACCTGAGTCAGTTGACGTCAATTGCAAAGGAGATCTTGTTGTTGAAACTAAAGAATGCGTAGATATATTCATCACAGGACAAATATCCACATATAAGTACATAAAGGGAGAAATGATTGATATGATTTGAAACTGTTTGAATTATGATTGATATAACTGAGGAAATGTAGTGAACACACCTTGCAAATAACCGCCACAATGTTTCTTGAAATTGTGCCGAAGTTCATGTAGATATACGAAGACACATGATATAATCAATTTTATCAATTTAGTAAAGCACACCCATCTTTTGCAGGTCAACATTTTTTTTTTTATTATTTGCAGATACATTTTTTTTTTCAGTTTAGATTTAAACTGTTAACAGTGGATTTCATATTAGCCTATTGTTTACCTTTTTTTTCATTTTCACGTGAATTTTTTTAACAAGCAGGTGGTGCGTATGGAAAAGGCTATAAAACAAATGATAGAGGTTTTGCTGGTTATAGTAAACAGCCTGATACTTTAGAAATAAAATGTGACGGGCCTTGAAGATGTTCATTGCTTTATTTTTTATTATTTTGTTGCCACTGAGGCTCAGTTTTTCAAAATGTAGATAAACGCAATCGACAGAAGAACAGTTTTTATTTTTAATAGCCTTACAAATTTTAATGTCGACGGTGAAGTCTCTCCGGACATTATTAAACAAACAGTGCACAGTCTTGCTGGGACTAAGAAGCATGGTACACCAGAATTGCGAGCAAGACATCTGCTTTCTCACACTGAGCATAATTATATCTATTTTTAAAATTAGAATACGGGAGGGTTGCAAGCTAGTGTAGACACTGAAAGCAAAAACGTCTGTTAACTGTGTTACACACTATATTATCAAGTTGTCTGATATTTCATTAAAATGAAATCGTGAGAAAAAAATTAGTTCGCGATTTTTATGGTTCACAAAATCCGACGAATTCAATCCATAACTGATGTTCGTACGTTTGCGTCCCGCCGCCCAGTGCGAGAGGAATGGTTGTCCTTGGAATAGATATCAGGGGTCCCATGTAGGGTGGGACATTTTTTTTTTCGGGGGGGGGGGGTAGGGGGTAGAGGGGGGGGGGAAGGGG